ACATGCACAAAAACAAGACAGAGCAAAACCAAGCAACAATGTACAACAAAACAGCAACAACAACAAAACACTGACAAAGAACAAATTAAAACACAACAAGAAAGAAGGAGACCATGGTTTATAACTCTGACTTGCTAGCTGTAAGGAAGCTTTGGTGCCCTAGCGGTTATACATTGGGCTTCAAACTGCAAGGTCAGCAGTTTAAAAGCACCAGCACCTCTCCAGGAGAAAGGTGAGGCTACAGAGTTAAAGTCTCAGAAACCTAAAGGGGTAGTCCTCTTCTATAGCGTCACTTGAGAGTCAGAATTAACTTGACAAAATGAGTTTGGTTTTCAGTTTCTTTTACTATACTCTTCTCCAAATCAAACTACATATTTTTCATCTTGTATTTCCTTGAACTTAGTGTGGTGTTCATAATACATAGTCAATAATAAGAAGTTATATAACTAATGGTTTTCTGTTGTGGTGGTGGTGATGGTTTTGTTGTTGTTGTTAGATGCCATCGGGATGGTTCCGGCTCAGAGAGACCCTGCGTACAACAAAACAAAACATTGCCCAGTTCGGCACCTCCTCACAATAGTTGTGTCTGACCCTGTTGTTGCAGCCAGTGTCATCCGTGTTGTGGGGAGCCTTCCTCTTTATCACTGCCCCTCTACTGTAGCAAGCATGGCATCCTTTTCCAGGGACTGGTCTCTCCTAATACCTTGTCCAAAGGATGTGAGTCAAAGTCTCACTGTTATTGCCTCTGAGGAGCATTCTGGCTGTACTTCTTCCAAGACATGCTTTTTGTTGTTATTTTGGCAGTCCATAGCACTTTGAATATTCTTCCCTGACACCGTAATTCAAATCATTGATTCATCTCTGGTCTTCCTTATTCAATGTTGTTTTCACATATATATGAGGCTAGTAATGCCTACTATATGCTGAGAAATTTGATTGAATCACTTCATGTTTCCTTGGTCCCAATTACATCTGGTCCGTGTAAGGAGCCCTAGTGGTATAGTGGGCTACGTGTTGGGCTGTTAAGAAAAAGGTCAGCAGTTTGAATCCAGTAGCTGCCCTGTGGGAGAAAGACAGGGGCAGGTCTGTTCTTTCCGGGTCGCTTGAGTCAGAATCAACTTGATGGCAGTTTGAAGTTTGTATATATAGTCTATAGCAGTTTGTCTCAATATTTGTCTCACTGTCATTCTTCCGATGAGTCTTTTGTAGCTTTTGAAACTAATATCTCCTATAGCACTTTATTCTACAAATACACTGTGTAGTTGTTTATATTATTGAGTAGGGTTAAGCTCTGTGGGACCATAAAGAACTGTAATATCTAATATTATATCTGTTGAGAATGCTTTTCACAGTTGAGAATCTAAGGTATAAATAGGTTAACAGCATAGCAAGAGAAAAACACATGATAAAGTGTGAATTAATAAAATGATAAATGAATAATAACTAAAAAGAGGGAGGATTGAATTATGAAAGAATAATAGTATGCTTCATGTTTTAAAGAAGAATCACAACTAAACTATATTGTGTATGCCAGTCTCTCCAATGATTCAGCTTTAAAATTCCAATGCTCAATTTATTTGAACCATGGTAAGTACTCTATACATGTTTTATTTATTTAAAATATGGGATTAATAGGTAACACAGGCATAGTAAGTGTCTTACGAGCAAAAATATACATGTACAGATTTAAAATCTAAATGTTTGTCTTAAAACCGTACCTTCAGTTATGACTATGTATTTGAAATCTTTTCCACAGGTAGAATGCTTGTCCACGAGTGGGCCCACCTCCGGTGGGGCGTGTTTGATGAGTACAATGAGGATGAGCCTTTCTATGCTGCTGCCTCGTCAAAAAAAGTGGAAGCAACAAGGCATGTCCATTTACATTTCATAAGCAACTACAGGCCATATTGATCTCATTTTCTTTGATTTACTTTTTCCTAAACACCAATCATACATTTTCCCCATGTATAACAGATGCTCTACCATGAAACAGGGCATTTCTTTTAATTTAGAAAATACATCTGGAAGTAGCTGGCTTTCATTTTAAGTATACATAACTCTCAGAGTATTTGGTAGTTAATTTGCCATATTTTGCGCCTGTTCTCCATAGCTACAATACTCATTGGTGCTGAAAATGTGCCGTGTGAAGATTGTCCACAGGTTAGAAGATCAAAACTACTGAAATAAGACAAGAATGAACAAAATTGATTAACAAGTAATGCTAAAGATGGCTGACAATACAATTAACCAATTAAAGTGGCCAGACAGGTACTTCTGGGAGATAAATAATGACCATATTAAATACTAATCAGAATGAATAATAGGCAATCTTCTTGGGTATGAAATCAAGAGAGCAGAATTGTTGAGAAATTTTGTTTAAAGTTAAGGAAAAAGCAAAACTCTGTACCATCCATGAAATTCCAACTCAGACAGACCCTATAGGACACGGTACCAGCAGGGCTCCCTAGTTGAAGCTTAGATACTGTCAATTAAGTCACTGGGAAAGGGACTTGTCAGAAATTTGCAAGTTGAAATGTGTATCATATCGATGAAGAACGTTCACCATTATTTAAGACGTGGATTTTTTAAAGTATTACGTATATCTATATCACATTTGTTTATATCATGCCCTTCTACAGATCTAGCCTCTGTTCCAGAATGTTCATCACGGCTCTTCATATAGCTACATTCATTGGGTCCCAATGGCTTCGGGCCAAAATAAACATAAGTAAACATAGGCAAAATACTCCCCAAATATCTGGATAAGTCTAATAATTACTTCCTGAATATGTACTGGAAGTATGTTTTTAATGGGACGTATTAAAATCTCAGCATATTTGTAGTAATTACTATCACCAAAGGACAATTCCAGTGGGCAGGGGTCACAGTGTGAGGTGGGAAATGGAATTTGAAGCAAGCTACGCTGAAGGAGAAAGATGCGGCGTCTGCTCTGTAAAATTACAGCCTTGGAGATCCAGTGCGGTGCTTCCATTCTGTCTATGGGGCTGAATGAAATGCACTCGTAGCAGTGGTTTGTTCTCGCTTCTTTTTCTAAAAAGGACAAGTCCATGGAATAAAACAAGCAAAGGGCTTCCAAACGTTCTTAGGAAAACTCCACTATCTTTTAATTTCATTTTTCTCATAAACTCTTTGAAACCTCTCATATCTAAATTCTCTCTATCATTCGTTACTATCATCTTTTGGACAGCATATCATTCTTGCTTCCTATTGATTGGATTTCCTTGTACATAGATAGGTATTATTCTCTCATGGACAGCTTTGTCCTTACTGATAGGTCTTGGAAAGTCCTTTTTGATGATGAATGTGAAAACCTTCCTCTTCAGTCTGTCATTCTTAGCACAGTCAACCATGTGAGCACCTGATTCGAAATAGCCAATACATTCCACTTCAGCTCATTAACACCTGGGATAGTGATCTTTGTAGATTCCATTTCATTTTTGAAGACTCCTAATTTTCCTATATTCATACTTTATCCATTCCAAGCTCTAGTTATGAACAGAAGTTTACAGCTGTTTCTTCTCATTGGGGCTCATGACCCACTATCAAATGAAACTCCAAAAGGCTCCCTGAAAACCTTACTCAGTCCCCATCACATGAACAATTCTACTTTGAGAAGGAAGCTCTGCTCAGTCATATTTTGAGTGCTTTACAACCCGAGGGGCTCATCTTCTGGTATAACTCTGACCCCATTCCACAGCTATTCATGAAATGTCCAGCATCTGACAATGTCCTCCTGCTATCCATCAGGTTTCCAGGGGCCAGTCCCTCTGAAGTGGACAGTCCATTCCTTCTGCATAGTCTGTTCTAGTCTGGAAGCTTTGCTGAAACCTGTTCACTTGTAGTGATACTGTGTGTTTGAAATGTCAGTGACGTAGCTTCCAGCAAAGGAGCACACACACCTCCACAGTACAACAAACTGACAGCTAAGTGGTCAGATAAGAATACAGCAATAAAATATTGATGAAACTATATAAGGATAAGATATTAAAGGTTTCCTAAAATGATAACAGTGAATGGAAATACTTAAGATGTTTAAAAATGACACTGACCAGGCTGCCTCAAAGACTAACTGTCAAATATTTTCAGGTGTTCCTCAGGTATCACTGACCAGAATGGAATTCAGCACTGTGTAAGAGGCAGCTGTGTAACAAAACGATGCAGAGTTGATCCTCAGACAAAACTGTACGAAAAAGGTTGTCAATATTTCCCTAATAAGGTGCAAACTGAAAAGGCATCTATAATGTTTATGCAAAATATTGATTCTGTAAGTATGTCAATTATTTCCAGAATTTCTGACCAAAGGACATATTATCATGTTTTTTTAAATATCTGTCCATATGACCCAGGGGAGGAGGAACATTAATATAGAGTTCTTTGAACATTGTTAAGCACATGACTAGCATTCAACTAGAATAAGCTGCTGGTGCTATCAGTGTTATTATGAAAAATCCACCTTAACATACTATTTACCTTTATTAAATCAAATATAATTCAATAAGAAACATTTATAGAACAGTGATTCATTTTCTCAAATTGTATAGATAGATTTTAAAATACATACTAAATAAAATTATTTTTTCAATGTATTAACATTGTAGATTAGTGAATTCTGTAATGCAAAAAACCATAATCAAGAAGCTCCAAATCTTCAAAACAAAAAATGCGATTTCAGAAGTACATGGGAGGTGATTAGCAATTCTGAGGATTTTTAAAAGACCACACCTATGATAGTGTCACCCCCTGCAACTGCCCTCTATCTGCTGAAGATCAGTCAAAGAATTGTGTGCTTAGTTCTTGATACGTCTGAAAACATGGCGGTAAGCTTCATGGCCCATTTTTTCTGGATGTAGAGGATCGGCAGGTGATCAAATAGCTAACAAAACACTGAACTCTGTATAGAAGGAAATTTGACCAAGAAGGAGAGGCGCAAGAGTGGGGTTTGTATAAAAAGCACAGATCAGTGGAATGAGAAGGAGGAGGACAAGTGTGTGAAGAGACTTACATTCTGGCAAAGACTTAGAGTCCATGGCAATCAGTCCCTACATTGGGAGGGAAGTGGTGGGTGGGTTATCAAGAAAAGAGGAAAGCACATAAGAATTCTAGCCTTGAGAATTAAAACGCACCACAGTCTGGATGGGTTTTGAGAGCTCCGGGGGTGGTTCACCTTAGAACAACTAACACAGATGTCCTCAGAAGAAATCAGAGTTTCAACTATTAGAGTCATCATCCCACATTCCAAACCAGCCCTCACCTCTACCTCTAATATCTTAGCAGAAAAGATCTTGTTTTAGTTAAAAATCCCCGTTCTTTACTACACTACCATGTGTCCCATACCACCCATGACTACAGTTTTGAACTTAAAAATGGAAAATTGTGATCATTGTTTACTTTCAAAACACCATACTGTGTATAAGAAAATTCTTACTGATAAATTCTATTCACTCATTTCATGTACTCTGCTTTTATCTTTTATTAGAAAACCCCTTATTCTTTTTTATTCAGATTCATAACCGCCTACTTAGAATGAATCCAGCAGCCAAATATTTCCTGCTGCAGACTATTGAAAATGGATCCTGGGTTGGCATGGTTGCCTTTGACAGCATGGCCTACATCAAAAGTAAGCTAATCCAAATCATAAGCAGCAATGAAAGACGCAAGCTCGTAGAGAGCTTACCGACAGAAGCCTCAAGAGGAATTTCCATCTGCTCTGGAATCAAATCAGCATTTCAGGTGAAATTGCTCTGCAAATACAGTGTCCTTCTTTGTTTTTCTATTTCTAGGTTAAGTGCTGCTGTACCTACTTACTAACAACATAATTAATCGTAGGCAATGCAGTTCTAAAAGCACGTAGGAAAATACATATTTTTTCTTAATATATATTTTTAATGGATCAGTGAATCGACTATTAAATTGATGGGAAAATAAATGGCAATAATAGTGTTGCTAAAGTCATAAACACATTAAGAGCAAACTTTTTTGTGTGTTACCAGGCAAAAGTAGGAACTCTATTTATGACCACAACTGAGTCAGTCCTCCATTCAGTTTCTCTGGCAGTCAGTAAGGGAAACCTGATAGTTTATATATTAATATAAATACTGCAAGGACCTAGAGTCCATGCCAGTCAATGCCTACATTGGGAGGGAAGTGGTGGGTGGGTTATCAAGAAAAGAGGAAAGCAGAGAGGTGAGGCACACTTGTTAAAGCATAAGACTTGTCGTCAACTCCTTATCAGAATCCTGGAGCTGAAACTTAGTAGCTACGTAATCCTAGACAAGTCCAGCCTCTTGATACTCTTGATGCTTTCTCTATAAAATATAGAAAAATTAAAATGTCTACCTCTTAGCAGGTTTATAAAGATTAAATGAAATGCTATATTTAACATTCTTAAAACAATATTTTCTACAATCTAACATCATTCCTTTTGAATTTGTCATTTTTGACTTAGAAAAACCATATGCCTGTCTGACTTCTAATGCTCAATAAAAATCCACTTCAGCTCATTTATGCCTATAATTGCAACGATGGGCTCAAGCACGAGAGCGATTGTGAAAATGGCGCATCACTGGCAGTGTTTCATCCTGTTGTTCACAGAGTTGCTATGAGGGAGAACTGACTCAGCAGTGCCTGACAAAATAATGCAAATGCCTGAACTATCGATCTTTATAGGGTCCGTTTCATTTTGATGGCTTCCAATATGCCTAGATTCATACTTTGTACATTCCATGTTTCAACTATTAATGGATGCTTGTAGCTGTTTCTCCTCATTTGCAGTAGTGCCCCACCAGCAAATGAAGGTCCTCAAAGTTTTACCGCATCCACTCTTTAGGTCAACTCTACGTAGAGGAGGCTGCTCTTTCCTGGTCATCGGTTGAGTGCCTTTCGACCTAAGGCCATTGTATCAGACAGTGTTTCAGTGACTGACCCTTTAGACAGGCCAGCCTGATCCTTTTTCATTGTCTGTTCTCTGTCTGAAAACTGCACGAGACTCTGTACCTCAAGGGTAACCTGCTGGTATTTGAAAAACCAATGGCATGACTTCTAGTATCACAGCAACACACACAAGCCACCAGCTTGACAAACTGACGGGTGAGCAGTGGCAATTCTTCCTAGTGTTTTGTCCTTACCCTTTTCACATACGTTTTTCTGTTGTGGCATTGCCTGTTTCTTTTCTTATTCGTGTAATTTGCATCTTCTTCTGTTAAATTTCCCAGTGACTTGTCAATTTTATTAATTCTTTCAAAGAACCAATGTCTCATCTTTCTATCAATGTTCTGGTTCATTTATTCTGCTCTGATATTTATTACTTCTTTTCTTGTGGTAATGGTCAGCTTATTTTGCTGCTTTTTTGCTAGTTTAGGAAATATTGGGTTAATGTGCTGATTTTGATTCTTTCTGCGTTTTTGATGTGGGAATTGATTGCATAAAATGGCCCTCTGAGCACTACTTTTTCTGTATTTTCAAGGGATGAGTATGTAGTATTTTTACTTATATTTGATTCTAGGAATTTTTATTTCATTTTTCATTTCTTCTATTACCCAATAGTTTTTAAGCAGAGTTTTGTTCAGTTTCCATATATATGCTTTTTCTCCTTGAGCTTCCTTTTCTTGATTTCTAGTGGAATAATGTTGTGATCTAAAAAGATGCTTTGTAATAGTTCAAAAATTTTAAATCTATTGGGACTTGTTTTGTGGTTGACAAATGACATGGGAGTCACATCTGACCTCCTCTGACTACACAAAGGGGAAGGAGAATCCAAATCAACATCTGCCCAAAGATGAGTTCTGAGACAGAAATCAGATACGCTTCCACCACCCATCCTTAATTACATATATTCTAACACCAACCATCCCTCCCACAACACTCTACTTCTATCAGGTTTGAAAATCTATTGCAATGACCAAACAGAACTCACAGACAACGCTCTCAATTAAGGGGGTTTATTAGGGAAGTTACCTAGTCAAGATCCAAAAATATTAAGGATAGAGTCTGTATGTTCACAGCATCTATTCTTAGAGATGCCACAAGCCAGTCTCTTTGGTCCTCGGCCTCTCAACTATATAGTCATTTACCTCTGCCCTGTTACAAACCTCTGTTAGCACAGATTAATTCCCAAAAGACAGCCTACTCTTCAAGCTTCCTGTCTAAAGGCACTAAGATTTACTCATTCTGTGGATGGACCTGGAAGCCCACTGCTCAGCCTTGAGGGCTCTGTGCTGCTCTTCTACTCTGTCTCATGTTCTTGATGTTATCACCTCTGGTGCCTCTAGTGCTTCTGCCACTGCAGGCAGGGATCTCATATACCTTCGGCTAGTGGTTCTTCTTTCTTTGTGATTGGGGAACGCTCTATCCCTGCTTCTCAGATAGTCCACTTTTATACTAAGCAGAATGGCACAAACGATGACTCCTCAAATTAGAGTCCTCTGTACCTATTTACATACTCCCATCTGGTGAATAAGTGAGAGTTACAAAAACAGAAGAGCTGTACAATGCAATTTCACCTCACTGTGGTGGCATAACATATGGTCTATTCTGGAGAATGTTTCACATGCACTGGAAAAGATATATTTTGTTGCTGAGCGAGGTGCTCTGTATATGTCTATGAGGTCAAGTTGGTTGATGATAATTAGCTTTGTGTCTTTTCTGAGAGTTTCTCAAGTTGTTCTGCCTTTCATCCAAAGTTTTGTATTAAATTCTCCTGCTACTTTTGTGGAGTTGTCTGTTTCTCCTACAAACCTGTTAGTGTTTAATAGTGTGTTTGGGTCTCTTTCATTGGGTGCATTAATAGTTTCTATAGTTATATACTCTTGTTCAATGTATCCATGAATCATTATATAATGTCCTACCTTGTTTATCATAGTGATATGTGTCTTATTTTTATTGCTGATAGGTGTCTTTAAAATGGCTCTGACTCATAGTGATAGTGACACTGTGTGCAACAGAACAAAATACTGCCCATTTCTCGGCCCTCCTCACAATTGTGTTTGAGCCCATTGTTGCAGCCACTGTGTCAATCCATCTCTTATGGATATCCTCCCTTTTTTGTTGACCCTCTATTTTACCTAGCATGATGTCACTCTCCATGGGATTGGTTTCTCCTGATAGCATACCCAAAGTCTCACCATCATCACTTCTAAAGAAAATTCTGGCAATAGTTTTTCCAAGGCAAATTTGTTGATTTTCTAGTTGTCAAGGTACTTCAAATATTTTTCATGAACATCATAATCAAATACATTGATTCTTCTTTCTTCACTGTCCTAGTTTCACATGCACACAATGCAATTGAAAATATCATGGCCTAGTACATTCTTCTCTAGTGCACATGGAACATTCGCCAATCCACAAAGCGACTTGCTCTTCAACAGTTTAAAGAAGTCTTATGCTGCTGATTTGACCAGTGAAATATATCATTTAAGGTTTTTGCCTCAAAATTTACTTCATTGGATATAGATATTGTCATCCCCATTCTTTTTTGATTGCTATTTTCTTTATGTCTGGTTTATATGAAAGAGAATAAGTATCCAGATTGAAGAAAGGCTTGCTAACAATCTGCGACATGCAGATGACATCACATTGCTTGCTGAAAGTGAGAAGGCCTTGAAGCACCAGCTGATGATCAAGGATTGCAGCCCTCAGTATGTAAAGCAAGCCAGAATCCTCACAACTCTCAATAGGAAACATCATAGGAAGTGGAGAAAAGATTCAAGTTTGAAAGGATTTTATTTTGCCTGGATCCATAATCAGTGTAGTAGTCAATAGATCAAATTACACAGTTCATTGGGTAAATGTGTTATACATGATCTCTTCAAAGTGCTGGGAAGCAGTGATGTCACCTGGAGGACGAAGTTGTGTTATTTCCAATGACCTCACGTGCATGTGGACGTTGGACACTGACTAAGGAAGACCATAGAGGAACAGATGCATTTGAACTGTGGGGTGGGAGAAGATCGACAGTGCCACGGACTGCAAAAAGGACAAGCTGATCTGTACGGGAAGTAAGGCCAGAGTGCTCCTTAGAGCCAAGGATGGCCAGATGTCATCGTACATACTTTGGAAATATTGTGAGTAGAAAGCAGTCCCTGGAAAAGGGCATCATGTTTGGTAAAGTGAAAAGGTGGTTAAAAAAAAAAAAAAGACTCCGGCCCTTAAAGAAGTGGACTAACACAGTGCCTCAGGAAGAGGAATACAGGTGAGGCCGGCACGGGACCGTGCTGTGTTTTGCTCTGTTGTGCACAGGGTGTTATGAGTTGGAGCTGACTTGATGGCACCTCAAACAACAATTGGTTATTTCAAAATAAGCAAGCATTATAGTGAATGTGATGAGTTTGTTCTGTGATACGAGCTTTAATAAAGATTCTACATTCCAGTCCTCTCCCACAAATCTACCCACACCTCCAGTCTTCCCTTTTATGTTCACAAAAGCCACTGCTAATCCATCGTGGCATTTTAACCTGGATTTTCTCACAATTTTCTCACAATTGTTTTCCAAGAATCTACTACTATTTAAAGCAGTCCGGGAAAACAAAATAGAGTTGCTAGCTGAGACTAAGTTTTTTCCATCCTTTTCTTCTACCGGGTATTCAGGTGTAGACATTTTCAAACTATTTGGTTTTATAGGTTGATATACCACTAATCTATCTCCTTGTCATACTGCAATGCTTTGCATGTTGTTGTGAAGTTATGCCACCAATTGGAAGCTATGCCACCAATATTTCAAATACCAGCAGGATCCACCATGAAGAAGAGGTTTCAATTGAACTTCCAGACTAAGATGGACTAGTGGGGGAAATGCCTAGAGATCTACTTACAAAACTTACTCAATAAAATACTTAATGATCACAACAAAATATTGCCCAACTAGGATCAACCCCTAGTTTGGAAGGCACTAAAAAATATACACCGCTGCAGCAATGGGTTCAAGCATACCGACGCTCTATGGTGATGACAGCGCAGGGCCCAACATTTTGTTCGGTTTTGCAGGAGATCACCATGAGTTGGAGAAATTGATCATCTTAGCAATCCTCAAGATGCTTTGAACTTTCAGTATCATTTATTAAACATGTTTCTGATTCCCTACGAACGTCGTGATTAGCAAAGTGGGACAGGAAGAGGGAGATCTTCCTAAAGATGGATTGAGAGGGTGGCTGCAACGCTGGGCTCAAACATGCCGATTGGGCAATGTTGGGTTCTGTTGTGCACCGGTCACAGGATTGCACCAAACGACAGCAGCAGTCAGGACTTACTTCCATTTGCCATTCTAAAAGGCTATGCATTGATTTCTTTATTTTCAAATTTCAATCCATTTAAGTTTCTACATACTGAAGACTTAGAAGAACGTAATCTGATCAAGAAAGAAAAAGATGTAATGTCTCTTTCCCCATTTTTTTTGGTGTCTTGTCTTCCTAAATTCCTTAGACTGAGATGCCCTTAATATTATTTAGCCAAGACAGGATTTTTCTCAGCCTTCCCCACCCCCCACCCCCACACACACACATAATTTCATTTGAATAATCATTCACTGTAGTATGAGAACAAAAATGTCATAGTTCCTCCAGAAGTTATGGACACAGATCCCGTGATTTCAAAGTATAAATTACATCAGCTATTCTACGCACTTTCATTTCCTCTGGTTTTTCCCCCTAACTCCCCTTCAGTCCATTTGTCCTAGGAACATCTGGAAATGAATGCCTTGAATTATGTTTGCAGGTGCTTAGAGAGAGATTTTCCCAGATAGATGGATCTGAAATAGTGCTGCTGGTAGCAGGAAAAGACAGCACTGTGAGGAATTGTATGGATGAAGTGATACAAAGTGGGGTGATCGTTCATTTGATTGCCATTGGACCAGATGCTGAAGGAGCAGTCATTGAGATGTGCGCCAAAACAGGTAAAACATGGTGTTAATTCTGTAGACCGCTGCTACATGCTACATGCTACAGCCTAATGAAGAGGCTGACCTCAACGGCTTCTTTCAAACTCCTCTTTGGAAGATACTGGGCCAGGAGCTGGGGACCAAAGTTGAGCCAGATACAATCACTGTGGTTAAATGTCCACAGTCAAGGTAGTCTGGGAGACAAATACTAATGCTAATCAGATAGTATAAGCAGGTAGCATTCCCTCACGACAGGAAAAAGAAATAGTAAGAACTGTCTATGCGAGGAGAGGAAGCTATGAATACTGCCAGCATTAGATGCTTTTGGGAAAGAAGACTTGAGAGTTAGGCCTTAAATAAGATGTTGCATTTCTCTGAGAGTAGGACCAGATAAGAGAAAAAGATCAGACTCTCCGTTAAAAAGAAAGAGGGTGCACATTGGAAGACACTGCAAAGTACATACAGGGAACGGTAGAATATTCAGTGAGACTAGAACATAGATAGCATAGTGGGTGGGAAAATGGCCCTAACAGAAACTCTAGCAGGATAGAATTAAAATACCAACACAGTTGCTAGATAAAACATTTACAACAGGTGCTGCTATCTTTGAAATGCAAACATGGGAGAAAATATGGATCACATTTTTTCCAATGACTTCTTAAACATAGTAAAGAATATATCATTTTAAATCTCAGGATGCTTTAAGCATAACAATTATTAGTATCAATTATTGAATTGAGTGCACTTCAAACGTAATTCTTTCTTAATACCTTCATTGTATAAACATCTATCATATTCAAAATGCTTCCACAGTCATTGTAAAAGTCATTCCTGTCCAACTAACCCTCCACTTACCCAAGTGATACCTTGTGATGTTGTCTCCGTTGGTTACAGTTTCTCAGTCTGTGCTTTGGTCGGTTGTTGTCAGAATACTTCAGAATAGCAGGTCTTTTTTCCTCATTTTCTGATTCTGATCTACTTTGGTTAGAAACACTGTATCTAAATAACCCTGAATAATCCCCCTGGAAGGATATATAAAACAAAGTCTTTGAACTTTAGTGCTGTGGAATTAGAATATCTTTTTTAGTATTCTTTGGCTATCGGATGTTTCCTAGGTAGCTAATGTTTCTGGATAAGTGAGATGTTAAGTTAGTTTACAGTTGCTACGTATGATATTCTTTATTTGAGAGTTAATCTTTATACCTGTATGATTTCAGTCTGTTCTAAACTTGATTTTGTTCAAATTGTTACCTTATTAGGAGAAAGATGGAACTGTCTCTTCCATAAAAAATTACAGTCTCAGAAACCCTAAGGGGCAGTTCTACTCTGTCCTATAGGGTCACTGTAACTTTAGTAATGTGTGTGCATTTTAGGAGGAAGTTATCAATTTGCTTCAGACAATGCCCAGAGCAATGGCCTCGTCAATGCTTTTGGCGCCCTTGCATCAGGAAACACGGATCTCTCCCAGCAGGCTTTTCAGGTCAGCATTCCCATCCTTAAGTTCCCGGTTTTGAACTTAGCCATAAGCAAGAATGATAGTTTGATGGTTGCGTGTTTTGAGTTCGATATTTTTCTCATAATACATTTCTAATTGAAATTAAATCTTCCGTTCTTAACTATGCTTTACGTGAAACACTAATTAATTATGTAGTGAAATGAGAGTTTATGTGTAGGATTACAATTCTAAGTGTCTAAAATTAGAAAGTAGATGATACAAAAAGCGTGCCCAATAATGCTTGAAGAATGATAATGTTAATAATTATTCAGTATTATTAAGTCATTGCATGAAGTTGATTCACTATTTTTTCCTAGACATTACCTTTAATTTTCATATTTTTCTGAATGATCGATTCAAGGATTAATTTATCTATTTTACTGTTGATGCCAAAACCTGATTGTAATGTTATAAAAGTAGCAGTACTAAGGTGGAGTATGACTCAAGCGATAAGTGCAAATCCCTTAAATTTTGAAGACTCTCATTTTTCTCATGCAGAAAATGAAACCATGTATCTCTGCTAAAAATTCCTTGAGAACCACTCTGGATTTTAAGCTTTAAAACAGTTAAATTTTGAAATAGTAATATTTTCAGAATTTTGAATATCTAGTTGCATTTATGAGGTAAATCAATTTGAAAGACAGTAAACACATAGCAATAGCAGATATAGCACATGGTTGCTTTTCCCTTTGGGATTTGATTAAGAGATAACATAAAAACCCAATAATGGTCACATTTTTCACCAAAAATAGATCATTAGTCCAGTAACATAACAGTCGTTTGTCTAAAAATTCATTTTTAAAGTTTATGTATCATGTCTACCTGCCCATCACTGGAAGAAGTATTGCCATTGGTCCTTGTCTGACTGCAAACCCTCCATGAAAACCCATCTAGCTCTTCTGCACAAAAAAGGTGTGGCAGACTATTTATGTAAAGATTACAGCTTGGAAACCCTATGAGGTTGATCTATTCTGTCCTATAGGGTCACTCTAAATTGGAATTGGCTTAAAGACAATAGATCTTATCTAGGAGTGAAGTGGGGCAGCAGTAGTCTGGACATTTACCCTGCAAACTAGTCTTGAAATTAGTTTGAAGATACTTTAGCAGTGTTCAACCTTGGTAACTTGAAGTGAATGGTGAAACAGGGAAATGGAAGGCTTCAAAGGGCATTTAAAAATATAAGAGCAGAATATAGAAAATCAGTTTTAAGAAGGAGATATTTGCAAACCAAAAGATCTCTGTTTTTAATTGACGTTCTTAAAAAAGAGATGAAGGAGCAAAAAGAACGTCTTGTTTTCCTCCCTTGAAGTGTCTGTGGTCAGTTCTTGAACAGCTAAATATCGAAAAGGAAAGAATTTTTATATTACTCTAAATTCCTCTGTATCATTGTTTCCTGAAATGAGCAATACCATCCCATGGGACCACTGTAATGATCCAGGGGACCTGAAAAGGTGAAGCCTACACTTTATCCTGGCGTATGGGCTATAGTACAAAAATCTTTAAGTGCCAGGAAGGAGGGTAGCTGAATCATTTTTGTTCTCTAAAAATAAGGCAGCAAGCCAACTATGTTTGGGAACCTATGCTCTATATCATGGATAGAACTTGAGATGTGCTATGGCCAACTAGAAGCTCATTACAATAATCTAAGATGAGTTGGTAGGAATGTGGACCTGGTGGCAGTTGAAATAAAACAGCTCCCTTTGGACTCAATTATCTTTCACTAGAAGTCTTCTATAACCCAAATCCTCTTCCTTTCTTAACTGATTCTGACAGGCTCTATAAAATCATTCACATTCAGATTGAACTTGATAATAATACTTTGTTCACTCAAAGACATGCACATTAAACAGAACACTGAGATTTTTGTCAAAGCAATGATATTTCTTTTTTGTTTAATCATTTTATTGGGGGCTCGTACAACTCTTATCACAATCCATACATACATCCATTGTGTCAAACACATTTGTACATTTGCTGCCGTCATCATTCTCAAAACATTTTCTTTCTACTTGAGCCCTTGGTATTAGCTCCTCATTTACCCCTTTCTCCCCCACCCTCCCTCCCTCATGAACCCTTGATAATTTATAAATTTTTTCATGTCTTACACTGAACAGAAAAGTAGGTAAAGGGAGACATCTAAGCAGTGATAATCTAATGGTAGAATTCACTCCCTTCCTTTGGGACTGGGGCGAAGGTGTGTACAGCTTAGAATAAATCATGAGTGAAACTGATCAGTGTTGTTGAAATGATACTCCTCAGAAGGCATCCTTTTGGTCAAAGTTGCCTCTTCTTAATGAAGAATTTTCAACATAGACTTTGAAAAAAAATTTCTACAAAAAGCGTCTCAAAAAGAGATCCTATCTTTGACTTCTTTCCACAACAGAAAGACAAACTAGGGGATATACACTATCATGTCCAGAAATTAATTCAAGACCTATCAGAAAAGACCTTAGAAAGGATTGTCTCGAAATCTGCTAGTCCTCATTTGCTTTTTAAAGTCACCCTCACCCTGTCACTGCTCAAATAATCAGTCCACTTTTAGAGCTCACAATCCTAAAGTGGGATACCAGATATGTTTGTTTTCAATGAAGAAATAAAAAATTATCTTTAAAAGAAATATGAAATTATTATTTTTGCTAATCATTAAGTTTAAAAATATGTTCAAACAGCGTGAAAGTAAGGGATTAACCCTCACCAGTGACCCTGGATGAATGGAACTGTAGTCATTGATAAAAGGAGACATTCTTTCTCGTCACGTGGAGCCAACATGTTCCCAGAATTGCTCTCTGGGATCCCAATGGAACATTGGTGGGAAAATTCACAGTGGACATAAATTCCAAAATGGCTCATCTCACTATTCCAGGAATGGCAAAGGTGAGAAATCAGCTTTTAGTTTCCCTCTCTGACTTTTTTTTTTCAAAAAATAATGGAAATGTATGATAACATAAATATATTTTAATGTCTTCATGTCAATAGTTACATCAACTTCAAAATTAAGATAAAATGTATTACTATTTTTTCATCCTTTCATTATCATCTAATGATTTGATGGGTGGAAAAAAGAACGAGTTTACGTATCAGGAGAAAGAGACTATTCCTGTTTCCGAAATTTCCACAGTGATTTTGAAGAGGAACTGTAGCGAAAATCTTTACAAGATAGTATGCACATAGCTGTAGCCTTTATTAGCACCACCTAGGACGAGACGGGAGTTCGTGTGTGGTGCCAACAGTATGCTTGAGTGGAAGATTGGAGGTTTGCGTCCACCAGAGGTGGAACTTGTTATGCAGCCCTGCGAAGTAGGAGAGGCACCGAAGGATTCATGCAGATGATCAAGGAACCAACAGCAGGACCAACAGGAAACTCTGCCTCACTACAAAGTGCTTAGCAGCGTCCTGTGGATGGAAAGCCTTCAATGCCTTTTAAATGGTAGTTATTGTTATTTTTGGAGATAGTGGTATATACAAAAGATAAGGTACTCAGAGATTCAAGCCACTAAACACACCCTGGAAGAAAGACCTAAAAACACATGCAATGATGCCGAAGGCAGGACGATCACAGGCCAGTGGGTGGGAAGTCTTGTGGATCCAGTGGGTTGTAGCCATCTCAGTGGTGACAGGGGTCTCCTGTGGATTCTCTGGCTCAGGGCACTAGCATATTTCCATGTGTCTTCTGGACAGGGACATCTCACAAGGAGTCAGCTGAAAGGGGTGGAGTCTCCCACCCAGAATCCTCAGGAGAAGGCTATGCCCACACAGAGGCCTCATTGGCTCTGACCTGATTGACAGGATAGAGTCCACCCTTCCACATATTGATACCAGATTATGTAACTACCACATCAACCACTGAAGACTGCTCTGTATAGTTCAGCTTTTGTTTAAATTATACGATCGGTGGCCTCTCAGGCCAAAAAACAAGGTTTTGTACAGCACTTGTAGGGGTGCCTGTCTGAAATGCTCACTTGTCCTCTGTGGGTTCTTGTACACCCCTCAAAGACCTTTTGTCTTCTACATCACATTTGTAAGATGTACTTTTAGAAGTGGGTAGTAGAGATACAGAAATATCTTGACTTTGACTGCTTATGATATTATCCGTGAAATATTTTAGGTGGGCATTTGGACTTACAGTCTTCAAGCCGAAACAACTCCAGAAGTATTAACTATGAGAGTAACTTCTCACGTGTCAAATTCTGCACCTCCAATCACAGTGAGAGCTAAAATGAATAAAGAGAAAAGCCGCTTCCCTGGTCCAATAATTGCTTACGCGGAAATTCAACATGGGTTCCTACCGCTTCTTGGAGCTAATGTAACTGCCTTCATTGAATCAATACATGGGCAAGTGGAAGTTTTGGAACTTCTGGATAATGGTGCAGGTAATCCATACTTTTTAAAAACAATTGACATGTGATTCACAAATCATACAGTAGTTTCAACATATTAAAACGAGTTTTGTAATCATCACCAAAATCAATTTTAGAACACTTTCTTCATTTTTGTACTCATTAGTATTAGCTCCTCATTTCCCACCAACATCCCCTGCCATAATCCAAAGAAACTCTTAGCCCTATAGATTGACCTATCCTGGATTTCATATAAAGAAAAATACAAAAACAACATTTTTTAAAGATAAAAATAATAAAACTAGAACAAATTTAAAATAAGTCAAATAGGAGATCAAAATGATAAACCTGACTGGAACGGATAAAACTTTGTCAGGTGGTCCTCCATACACATTGGGCCTGATCTGTTTTTCAACATTTTCTGTGATTTGTGGTTTGTTTTTTTTTTTTTTTTACTGGGGGTTAACCCTGATGCATTTTGTCATTCAGGATAGCCCTCTTGAATTTTTATTATAGGTTTGTCTGTTTTTCTGTTCATGAAGCCCATGATTGATGGATCTATGGAGACAGCACGTAGAATAAGGGTTCCTGAAGGTGCAGTGGAGAAGGTGGGGGAGGGGGGAGGGGGGGGAGCTGATATCAAGGAGTTCAAGAAGAAAGAGAATGTTTTGAAACTGATCATGGTAACAATTGTACAATGCTGCTTGATGCGATTGAACTATGAAACAATATGATACCTGTTTCAGCTCCCAATAAAATGGTTTTGAAAATAAATAAATAAAATAAGTCAAAAGGAAAAACAAATGGTAAGGTGTCAAATTTTAACCTAACAAATTTTAAGCGTCCCAATGCACTCTGTCTGTTAGGAAGGCTAGTTACATCCCTGATCAGTGGTCATAGGGGATTCACTGAGGTCTTATTCCAAGTGAATATCCTGAAAATGGATTTGGGACTTTCACTGTGATCCATAGTCTTCTACTGAGTGCTCAGAACGGGTAAGCTCTAATACCATTCCCTCTTCCAGTCTTGGATTTTATTATTTACAATCCCTGAATCACACAGTCTGATGTGCTTCATCCGTGTAGACATAACGGGCACATCATTTAAACAGCTGTCTGTTTTAAGACAATGCTTTAAGACCCCAGATGCTGTTCTTTCTGCCAGCCAGCCACTATGTAATTTGTTCATCACACTTTGGATAGCACCCCTCTCTTCAATGATCTCTTCATGAGGGCAAGTATCATGATACTTGTTTAGTTTATAGCTATGGTTAAGTGCAATCTCAAAATCCATTAAATTAAAGGATTTAAAAGTAAGCCTATATTTTCACAAAATGTCATTCTGTGTGGTGCCCTGTGACAATGTAGACCAAAAGGACGAGAATCAGAGAAACGGGTGCAGATGATTAAAGAACATCAAGGCAGGCAGAAAACTCTGCCCAGGTAATGCTACAAAGTGCTTAGAAAATAATCATTGGTATCATCGGCGTCTCTGGGATGTACAAACAGTCATGTGCTCAGTTGATAACCAAAAGGTTCGCAGTTCAAATCCACCCAAAAAAATAAGTCCTAAAAGCCCTATGGAACACACATTTACGCCGGCACACGTGAGATCACAACGAGGTACAGTGGACATAATAGGCATTGTTGTTATTATTGCTTACGACTTAGACAGCCAGTACCTGTCATCACTAGGTAGGAAATTCTTAGTCAAGAAATAAATGACAGAGTGAAAAGTTGGGGGTGGGAGTTCCTCTGGTGGGCGTCATCAGAAAGTCTATGCAGAGAGTGAAGCCCATGTAGCCAAATGGTACTGAGAAGCAGAACCC